GAAGATTGCTGACATAATACAAGAGGATCAAGAAGGTTGCTGACATAATACAAGAGGATCAAGAAGGTTGCTGACATAATACAAGAGTATCAAGAAGATTGCTGACATAATACAAGAGAATCAAGAAGGTTGCTGACATAATACAAGAGGATCAAGAAGGTTGCTGACGTAATACAAGAGGATCAAGAAGGTTGCTGACATAATACAAGAGGATCAAGAAGGTTGCTGACATAATACAAGAGTATCAAGAAGATTGCTGACATAATACAAGAGGATCAAGAAGGTTGCTGACATAATACAAGAGGATCAAGAAGGTTGCTGACATAATACAAGAGGATCAAGAAGGTTGCTGACATAATATAAGAGGATCAAGAAGGTTGCTGACATAATACAAGAGGATCAAGAAGGTTGCTGACATTATACAAGAGGATCAAGAAGGTTGCTGACATAATACAAGAGGATCAAGAAGGTTGCTGACATAATACAAGAGGATCAAGAAGGTTGCTGACATAATACAAGAGGATCAAGAAGGTTGCTGACATAATACAAGAGGTTGAAGAAGGTTAAGCGAGACATTAACTAGCGGATGCTGCTGCATTCAGAGGCGCTCCCGAGATGGTTGTTTGCGGGTCTTCAGTGCTCCAGGATAAATGTTTGCCTTTAATTTTGTTCTGGGTCTCGCCATGGTACCTCTGGGAGAACCTTACCTAAAACAAACTTCGTGGCAGTATAAAGTCCTTCCCGAGGAGGCGGACGCTGTGGAATTCTTTGAAGACCTGGAACTCAAGAGGCAACAATCTTCAAGGCCTCTTCGAGTTGTCCCCTGGACGACGCTCGTCACACAGGTAATCAACTTGGTCTATTATCTACTTTGGTTATCTACCCCGGCGAGGTTAGTGCATGTCTTATTGGATAATAAAGTAGTGTGCTACTTTAAATGGCCCCAGACGCTGCTTCACCAGACAGGCTTGATAACAATGCTGTCTTGAAGATTGTTCTCAGATGAAACACTGGGAATTTAGGGAATCTCTTTCTTCCGTCGTTTATTGCTTAGTTTTCTCCTTCCTCTCCCTGTTCTTTTTTTTTTCTCTCTCTCCTCTCCCTGCCCTTGTTTTTTAATATTCCTGACTTATTATTCATTTTCTGCCTTTTCTTCAATTTATTTATCTCTTCGTACTCTTTAGACTCCGTTTGCACCCAAACTTGTGTATTCCTCATCTGTCTTCACCCCACACCCGTCTACACCTCCACCGGTCTACCGTACCCCCCTTCCCCGCCCGTTGTTCCCTCCCTCTGGATCGTAAAAGAAAAGCATGGACTAAGAAAACTGTTAGCGGGAACCTCGTCCCCTGTGGCAACTAGCCATTAAAGAATATTGCCTCCAGGAAAACTGTTCACTCGGGAAAGTACGAGTTGTTATGAAAGAAAACACTTCTAAGGAAAACTGCCACACACACACACACACACACACACACACACACACACACACACACACACACACACACACACACACACACACACAACAAGAAATGACCGTGAAGTATGTGAGGAACTCAACAAGAGATTCAAAGAAGTGTTCACAGAGGAGACAGAAGGGGCTCCAGAAAGACGGAGAGGTGGGGCACACCACCATGTGCTGGGCACAGAACACACAACCGAGGAAGAAGTGAAGAGGCTTCTGAGTGAGCTAGATACCTCAAAAGCAATGGGGCTGGATAACATCTCTCCATGGGTATTGAGAGAGGGAGCAGAGACGCTATGTGTACCCCTAACAACAATATTCAATACATCTATCGAAACAGGGAGATTGCCTGAGGCATGGAAGACAGCAAATGTATTCCCAATCTTTAAAAAAGGAGACAGACATGAAACACTAAACTACAGACTAGTGTCACTGACATGTATAGTATGCAAAGTCTTGGAGAAGATTATCAGGAGAAGAGTGGTGGAACACTTTGAAAGGAATGATCTCATCAACAGCAGCCAACACAGTTTCAGGGACGGGAAATCCTGTGTCACAAACCTACTGGAGTTCTATGACATGGTGACAGCATTAAGACAAGAGAGAGAGGGATGGGTGGATTGCATTTTCTTGGACTGCAAGAAGGCGTTTGACACAGTTCCACACAAGAGATTAGTGCAAAAACTGGAGGACCAAGCAGGGATAACAGCGAAGGCACTACAGTGGATCAGGGAATACTTGTCAGGAAGACAGCAGCGAGTCATGGTACGTGGCGAGGTGTCAGAGTGGGCACCTGTGACCAGCGGGGTCCCACAGGGGTCAGTCCTAGGACCAGTGCTGTTTCTGGTATTTGTGAACGACATGACGGAAAGGATAGACTCCGAAGTGTCCCTGTTTGCAGACGACGTGAAGTTGATGAGAAGAATTCATTCGATCGAAGACCAGGCAGAACTACAAAGGTATCTGGACAGGCTGCAGACCTGGTCTAGCAATTGGCTCCGGGAGTTCAACCCCACCAAGTGCAAAGTCATGAAGATTGGGAAAGGGCAAAGAAGACCACAGACGGAGTACAGTCTAGGGGGGCAGACACTACAAACCTCACTCAAGGAAAAAGATCTTGGGGTGAGTATACCACCAGGCACATCTCCTGAAGCGCACATCAACCAAATAACTGCTGCAGCATATGGGCGCCTAGCAAACCTCAGAACAGCATTCCGACATCTCAATAAGGAATCGTTCAGGACCCTGTACATCGTGTACGTTAGGTCCATATTGGAGTATGCGGCACCAGTTTGGAACCCACACCTAGCCAAGCACGTAAAGAAACAAGAGAAAGTGCAAAGGTTTGCAACAAGACTAGTCCCAGAGCTAAGAGGTATGTCCTACGAGAATAGGTTAAGGGAAATCAACCTGACGACACTGGAGGACAGGAGAGATAGGGGGGACATGATAACGACATACAAAATACTGAGAGGAATTGACAAGGTGGACAAAACAGGATGTTCCAGAGATGGGACACAGCAACAATTGGGACACAGTTGGAAGTTGAAGACAGATGAATCACAGGGATATTAGGAAGTATTTCTTCAGCCACAGAGTAGTCAGGAAGTGGAATAGTTTTGGAAGCGATGTAGTGGAGGCAGGACCCATACATAGCTTTAAGCAGAGGTATGATAAAGCTCAAGGTTCAGGGAGAGTGACCTAGTAGCGACCATTGAAGAGGCGGGGCCAGGAGCTCGGACTCGACCCCTGCAACCTCAACTAGGTGAGTACAACTAGGTGAGTACACACACACACACACACACACACACACACACACACACACACACACACACACACACACGCACACTTTCGTCCACAGGAGAGGAGAGAAGGGAGCAACTGAGGGAAGAGAAGGAGATGGATACACACAAGTAGGTGTTTTATGGCATAGGGAAATAAATGGGGTCATACAGTAATTAGCTTTTGGTGTTTGAAAGTTGTTTTGATAAGCTATTTTGCTGTTTGTAATTTGTTTTGATGCTTGTAAATTGTTTTGATAAGCTGTTTTGCTGCTTGTAAGTTGTTCTGATGTCTGTAAGTTGTTTTAGTATCTGTAAGTTGTCTTGATGTTTGTAAGTTGTTTTGACGTCTATGAGTTGTTTTGACGTCTGTGAGTTGTTTTGACGTCTATGAGTTGTTTTGACGTCTGTGAGTTGTTTTGACGTCTGTGAGTTGTTTTGAAGTCTGTGAGTTGTTTTGACGTCTATGAGTTGTTTTGACGTCTGTGAGTTGTTTTGACGTCTATGAGTTGTTTTGACGTCTGTGAGTTGTTTTGACGTCTGTGAGTTGTTTTGACGTCTGTGAGTTGTTTTGACGTCTATGAGTTGTTTTGACGTCTGTGAGTTGTTTTGACGTCTGTGAGTTGTTTTAATGTCTGTAAGTTGTTTTGGTGTTTGTAAGTTATTTTGATGCTTGTAAGCTGCTTTGATGAGGAACTGGATAGCAGGATAATTGAGGAGAATAAGAGAAAGAAAGTAGGCAATCACCATATGGAAGAGAGAAGAAGAGGGGGATATGAGACATAAAATTTAAGGAGGAAAGAGAATGTCTGAGAAGAATATGAAGATAAAAGGAAGAGAAATGAAATTACTGTGAAAGAAATAAGAACTGCCTATGACATGAACTTTTTTTAACTTAGAAAAATATGAAGAAAGGAAGTCAAGGGCCATTGAAAATTCTGTTTGTAATAGTACTGAGCAAAACAAATCCAGTTTGAGGGAATCTTACAATTCTGATGTGATCTTTATTAAGGAAGATAGGATGAAAGAAGAATGGGAAGCAGCAAAAGAGAAATATGAAAGGGAAAGGAAGCAGCAGATAAAAGGAATTGAAGAGAGTCAGGGAACCTCTTGAGGGGTGAGTCAACAGGTGGAGGTGGTCCAGGAGGGCAGCACCAAGCAACCAAAACCACCCTTCATTATCTTCCCTTCATCACATCCTCCCCTTTCTCCCCTTCCCTTCATCACATCTTTCCCATCCTCTTTTCCTTTCTGCACCAAAACACTACCAAGCTCTCAAATACACTAATCTATTTGATCTTTTCATTCTTAAAATGCTGTAGTAATCCCTTTGTCAACCCCACTCGTCTCCACTCTTCCTTCTTCCCATTATTTATCAGTTAACATTACTCGTCACTCACTGTCCCCACAAACCGCCTACAACAACACGTTGTCTCTAATAACTTTCCTTTATCCCCACAGTGCATCAAAATTACTCTTTCGCATTTAACGGTACGTCATAGTTCCTCTCGCATTATGGTCTGTTGTAACCCCAGCTCTAAACTACATTCATTCTCACCTCATTCTCACCTTCATTCTCACTTCATCACCTCTCTCATTTTCTCATGTTCCACTACCCTCCCTCTCATCTCACGATCCACCACCTCTATGGTCCACCCCCATCCACCCTCCACACCCCTCAGCATCATCTTTCTCTAGTGACCTTACGAACTTTCCTCCCGAATCGCTAGTGAGACTCCACCCAATATTTCATGAAGCAAGAAAATAGAATATCACGAAAGAAGCTATAGATAACAAAATCAGAGTTTGACACTAGAATGTTAAATGAATCCACTACCAAAAGTATTGCTGCGAGTGAAAGAGTAAAAGAAACCTCCGGATATTATAGCCATTACAGAGTACCAGGTACCAGCAGGTTGTATGCAGTTTCAGAGATAGACTTAAGGTATGTGAGAGAGAGCATGCCAAGACCCAGCACTTGTCAGGTCGCTGGACGACAGTGCTAGTCTGGAGGGATAAAATATGAAATGCAGATTAATGCAAAAGGCAAAATGCAAGGTTTGTCAGAATTATTTGTTCATTGTTAACATTTGTATTATAGTCACCTGTTTTCTTTTATTTACGTCTTTATTTACCCAGCACGCCCGTTTATTGTTTATGTGTTTATTTGAGTCACCTATTTAAGACTTTGCTTACTTGTTTATTATTTTGGTCATGTTTGTTTTATTGATTTTATATTATTTACGTCTTTGTTTACTTTTACCACCCTTTTATTATTTGTTTTCGTTCATCCTAAACCACGCGTTTATTGTATGTTTTTGTTTAACTTAGCTATATGTTTATTATATATATCGTCTTTGTTTACCTGAGTTTATTGTTTATATCTGTATCACGTTAAGGTCATTCTTCAGTCTCTTCTTTACTATATCTTTCCTCGCACTATTAAGTTCTGTCTCTTCCACACCTTATCTTTACACCTGATGTTGTCTCATGTGTCACCTTAACTTTTCCGTCAGCATACTGCGTCACCTACTGCCATTGCCTTGTTTCCTCTCTACCCTGGTTGCCTCTGCGTAGCACTGCGTCACTACGCAACCTTGTTTCCTCTCTAACACCTGGGTTGCCTCTGCCACCAGCATACTGCGTCACCTACTGCCATCGCCTTGTCTCTTTCTCCAACACCTGGGTCGCCTCTGCCGCTAGTATACAGCATTACCTGCAGGTCTCGTCGAACACCTGCGTCACCTTCGTCAACTGCGTTGCCAGCATACAACATCACCTGCTGCTACCTTCATGCCAGCAGAACCCACACTCTGGAGATGTTTTTTGGCACGGGACCCCACTATCACGTTATCAATATAGTTTACGACTGTCGGCGCCATGAAGGTTTCTTCGGCGTCGGAGCTGGTTGTTGTCTGGGCACAGCGACGCCTTAGATGACCGAGGCGACGTGGTTGTGGTTGTCCGGGCACAGCTACGTCTTAGATGACCGAGGCGGCATCGGGGAGTTTGGTGGTTGTCTGGGCACAGCGACGCCGTAGATGACGCGAAGTCTGGACTGGAATCTGTTTTGCTGCAGTTTATGGAAGAGCATGAGAAGCTAATCTTAGGTGTGATCTACAGACCCCCACATCTCGATAGTGACCACGCTAAATTACTTTGGGTTGAAACTGCTCAGGCATCTAGAAACGTATATGTAGTTTAAATGGGAGATTTTAATTTTGGCCAGATGAATTGGAGCAATTTGAAAAGGTAGTCTATAATCTAGCAACTTTCTTGAAATGGTTAGGACTTCTTTTTAAAACAGCTTGTGTCAGAACCAACTATAGGAAATATCTCGCTGGACTTGGTTCTGGCAACAAGGATTCTCCGATAGATAAACTTGAGGTTAATGAAGAACTAGGAGTAAGTGATCACAAATCATTTAGCTTAAATATAAAGTGGAATTACCTTAATAATGATGACAAAGTCAGTCCCCTGTTTCCGCGCTGCAGGTTACACTGGTCAACAATTTTTGAAAAGTTACATGCTTCTTAAATAAGATTAGTTAATTCTTATATATTTTCATGTCCGGAATCCAAATATCACCTTGAAAAAATGCTTATTGGCTATAGATTTAAAGATACGAGACATGTAATATTTGATTATTTTATTAAAACGTACAATATGTGTCAGTATGTTTTAAACTCTAATCCGTACCTACTCTTCTTTTTGCTTGACGCTTACTAGTGGCTGAAGAATCATCTCTTGCCAATGTCCAGCAATAGTTTGTAAGCATTCTTGTGCCCCATTTGCCCTGGTACCATTTTTTCATGGTTGAAATATCTTAGTGAAACCTTTCACCATATTCGTCACTAACTGGAAAAAAGTCTAAATATGAGTTCAAAAAGTGGATTTTAAGTGACATGTTACATCTCATGTTCTTGTAAGCCTTGATGATGTTTTCCACCAATTCTTCATAGTTGCCTTCCCTTCTGTTTCCGAGAAATCCCTTCGCCACTAACTTGAGTGCTTCCCAAGCAGCTTTCTCCTCCCCATGAAGTCTGATTCAAAGCCACCATCTTTAAGAAGCTCTCGAATTTTGATGTTAAATACTTGAATCCCTGACCGGATTTGTCCATAGCTATACAAATTTTTTTTTGAGCCCAGTTTTATGTGAAGTGGTGGTATCAAAATTTTGTTTGGTTCAATGAGAGGTGGATGTTGAACATTTTTCATCCCAGGCTCCAATGATTGACGAGGTGGCCAGTCTCTCATGATGTAGGGGTAACCTCTTGCACGGCGGATACTTGGTGTACCCGCCCTTCAAGCCTATCACAAGAGCAATAACCTTTAAGTCACCACAGCACAACCACCTCCTATGGCTGCTGGAACAATAATGAAGGGCATTGAGACTGTAAATGTGGTAAGAAACACACTGCCGCAAGCCTGTTGGAACCTGTTGTGACACGTAGGTGTATATTGAAAAGAAGAGCTAACAAACAATTTTAACCATGGTATTCATTATCAGCGACCTAAAATTAATTGGAAATTGCTACTCTGGTCTCGGAAGCATTTTGGTTGTTGACCAGTGTTATATTAGGCTGGGGGATTACGTGAGAAGTATAGACTGGGGTGACCTGTCTTGGGACTATTGTGAGAGAGACCGGATAGAAAGTGATTATGGTTGTCAATATGACTTTTCCAAAGTACTGTACAAGCTGGCCAGCCTGGATATATTCCCGATGGAGAATTTAGATCAAACATGAATTACTCTAAATGGACAAAGAAGTCCAGAGTCACTATTAAACAGCATTTGACTTAAGAGAGAAGTTAAAAAGAAAACATAAGGAAAGCTAAAAGAGAATATTGTAGTTGCGAGATGATCAAAGATCAATCCTCAGGGTTTCTTTCAGGTATATAGGACTGAAACTAGGGAAAAGATAATTACACTGACAGTGACATGTGTCTTTGGCTATCCTTTAGCAGGCATCATCACGTTAACACGACTCTCTGTCGATTGAGAATCGGCCACAATTTTGCAGGTGTTCCTGACCGACTCTGTGTAGCTTGTGGTGTGTGGCTGACTGTGGAACACACTTCAGCTGTTTGTCTTGTCGCTTTCACCCTGGTTTTCATAGTTGCCGGGGTGCCTGTAGGGATCTCGAGGAACTTTTAGGAGGATTTGTTGACAGTGAAATTTTAATAGGATTTTTAATTGATAATGTTAATTTAATCTTGATGTCATATTATTTGTTAAGTATTTTATTCACGCTAGTAGATTTTTTTAATTGTTACTTTTACAGTTGAAACTCTTATGTGTACGTGTTTGTGTTTCTGTGATTTTTTTTTAATCGCCAAGAGTGATGATTGATGAACCCGGTTGAAGCGTTCTTCAGTTTCAGAACTTTCTGCTTTATTATGCTGAATGTACTGAAGAAAGTACAATATTCATTTTGTTTGGTAAGGCTGTGATTCCCCTAGGTAATATTCTAATAAAAAAAACTAGGCAGCTCTTCGTGTGAATTTATTTTTTGTTTGTAAAAAAACGCATAAACAAACCTACAATAGTTGTCTCTCTCTCTCTCTCTCTCTCTCTCCTCTCTCTCTCTCTCTCTCTCTCTCTCTCTCTCTCTCTCTCTCTCTCTCTCTTCTCATCTTCTTCTTCTATCTATCTATCTATCTATATATTATATATATATATATATATATATATATATATATATATATATATATATATATATATATATATATATATATATATATATATATATTATATATATGAAAACCAGGGTGAAAGCGACAAGACAAACAGCTGAAGTGTGTTCCACAGTCAGCCACACGCCACAAGCTACACAGAGTCGGTCAGGAACACCTGTAAAATTGTGGCCGATTCTCAATCGACAGAGAGTCGTGTTAACGTGATGATGCCTGCTGAAGGATAGCCAAAGACACATGTCACTGTCAGTGGAATTATCTTTTCCCTAGTTTGTTTATATATATATATATATATATATATATATATATATATATATATATATATATATATATATATATATATAACACTGAAAGAGCTTTATATATGTGTGTGTATACAATTAGAGATGCATTTTTCATCGTAAATACTCTCTATTTTAAGGATTAAAGCCTTGATAACCCTCGTACAGTCAACAGGCTCTAAAGTCTAACTGACTATAAATGTTCACGCAGTCAAAATCCAGCTGTTTGTGCTCTCGTCGAATCTGTTTAAAGTGTGGGTTTAGGCTAACGCTTTTGTAAATAAATCCTTTGTTTATACTTGGTCTACTGCTCACTTCAAAGGTAGTGTGATGACTGTGTATTGGACTGCGATAATCGTTTGGATCTTAGCCTTTATTGCATCCACTGGCAACTCATTCTCACACTACACCGTTCGCTTTCTAACGCATTAACCAACGTCAATAACTATACGTTCTCATATTTTATTTTTTCCAAAACGACTTATTTTGATTTCAGGCTAGGTTAAGTGAACCTACATAAACGTCTACGTTACATTCAGTAATAAATATCTGCGTACAATTAAACACAGAGATAATCAAAAGAGCAAAAACAAAAACACAAAGGTTAGGTAGATGTGGCGTCTCCTAGCAAATACGATCGTTAAAATCATCACGTTCGGTTTGAAGACGAGCTGCCGCGGGAGTAAGCGTGCCCAGAACACACAATAACTCTATTGGCAACGCACAATAATTAACTCACCCTCGTATTATTGCCAAATTTACTCTTTGTAAATACACACGTTAACTCGCCAAGGACAAGTTGTTTTATTAATGGGGCGAATTGTTTTATTGCCTCTATAATTTTCCCTTGATGGTGGAGTGAGCCCAGGTTAATGACACTGCAGCTCGCTCATATGAATGGCTGGGATAAACCCAGCTGTGATTTATGTGCTCCGGGGCAGAGATCTTTCATTAGAAGGCTCGACTCGCTTTAGAATTCTACACGCATTTTACATGTAACAGAAAATATGAAATAAATTATTTTCCGTGGCTCATTCGAATGAAAGCGAAATACTTTTTCTTTCATTGTTTGAAAATGTGCAGTTTTAAATGTTTTTCTTAGCTCGAATGGATGGTGAAAATATAAATATTTTTTGCCTTTTCATTAAACTGTCCAGAAGCTGTTGTGGAATTTTAGAATTGTTTTCAATAAAACAGACATATCAAAATAAATGTTTTAGTAAATATTACGTGGCCATACATATATAGGAAAAATACAAGTGTCAACATCTAAGGACAAGAGTTGTGTAAATAATAACTGAGAAATGGGAAGTGCAACATTACACTACAGGATTAAAACTTAAATTATGAGAAGCGAGACTGGTGGCAGCACTCGAGGACGAATGGGAATCTCTTCTTAGAGCAGCATATTGTGACAGAGAATACAGAGGTGTTAACAGACGGAGGATTGACCCTGCACCTCTTCTTTCCATGAATAAAAAAAAAAAAACGCACTGCGTTAGCTCTCTGTGAAATACAGAAAATAAACGCCATAGGGCCGGTTCTATGGAACGGGTGAGCATACGACAGACCCACGTCAGGTGATTGATGAATAAATCAACATTTCTTTTAGAGTTGAAGTAACTGAGAAGAAGTAAAATATGCGCTTAACTTTTAAAGGAATTTCCAGGTTCAGTTCATTAGTTATTATTGAGAAAAATACTTTTAGATGGATAAAAGTTTAGTGGGATATATAAATTATGGGAAGGTTTCAAGTGGCTTTGGAAAACAGGAGACCAGGAATATTTACCCAGCCTAAAGTGTGATATAACTCAGTGCATTGCTCTTGCTCTAAGGAACTGGATTAATACTCCCTTTCCTTGGATTAAACCTGATTTCCAATCATGCCCTCATTTTCCGAGGGTTTAGAGTTTCGCCATAAATACAATAAGAATACAATAGAATAATAGAACAAAATACACTTTGTCACGAAGAGCGTAATTGTTAAGCAGAATTTTTAAATTGATTTTTTCATCGCATTTACCGCGGAGAAACTTGTGATAATGACACTATTACGTCTAGTCGTTTGTAGGCCTAACCATGTGTGTATAGACCTGCTGAATTAGCAGAGTATTACAGTTTTACGTGAATATAATATACAGCGTGGCTGAGTCTTGCCAAGACGTATTTGATACAGTGAAAATTGAACATGTTACTGACTTGGTTGAATTAGTTAAGGATGCCCACACAACAGCGCATTAACTGTTTGTAATGTGGTATAGTTTTCATGGCCCATGAACTAGATACCTAATAAAGCACATGCAACAAATAAGAAACAAAGCAAAGGTGTGTCTGTGTCTGTGCAAAGCACATGAGAAGCAGTTGAGGGCACAGCCACTGTCCTTTAAATTGCCCAGCGATGACTAATACTGTGGAAGGAAAACAAAACACTGGAGGTATCATAATCCATTGCCTTTAAGACTTGATGATGCGGGAGGGTTTACTAATATAGCTGCTACGTGGGGGACCACATCACTTGGGCACTCTAAACTACATCTGTGATGCAGGCAACAATAATATCTCTCTGAGAATATAAGAGTTTTACATGGTCATGACATTAAATGTATCACGTGTAAAGAAACTAGATGTGTTTAGGTTAGTGAGCG